AGTCACTATTTTTTATATATTTTCCCCCACTAGCTGCATGGCAGGTGGGGCCCCATGGAGGTAAAATACCTCCATTATAGTAATATGGGGATCTTATTGACCTCCATAGAATTTTAATGTATTATTATTAATAATATCATTATTATTGTTATTATTATTTATTTACATTTTTTTTTATGTGGTGGCTGGCTAGCAAGTGCTGATCAGCAACCACATAATTAACCCTTGCAGTTTAGATTTTTCTTTTCATTTGAGACAGATTTGAAACCTCCAGGTGCATATTTGCAGTATTTGGTGCAGATTTCAGCCGTTTGCAGGTGTTTGGTCTGGCTGAAATCTTGACCAAATTCAGATTCATTCGGGGTCTGAATTAAAAAATCCAGACATTGTTCAATTCCACGAACACTGTCCAGATTTTACAGTCTGAAATTCCCTGTATACAACGGAATGGGCTATTAGGACTTTAGTTAATAACTCTGATAGTAATCACAGCTAGAAAAATACCCTCTTCTACTTGATAATCAACCCTTGTATCAAAGTTCCATGTATTACAAATATTTCTTTTCAAAGAAGCTATTGAAAGTATCTTCCATGCTAGTGACACAAATTGAAAGGCTTGATGATCCCAACTACAGACTGTTACAGGGTAATTTATTAAGGTGAGAATTCCAGGTGATTTCAAAGTGAATTTCAGATCTAAGGACAAAATAGACAAAATGCAAACATTCTCTAAGACACCCATGGGTTCAGTTCAGCAACCCTGGCCTTAAACTTGAAATTCACTTTCATTTCTCAGTTTAGCAAATAACCCTATTAGTATGTAGCAGAAACTAGGCAATTACAACCACGTATAAACTGTGTGAGTTACGGCTGGCTTCAGCTTCCTATCTCGAACTGACCTCAAATGACTTTTTCAGCCAACTTTCCTCAGGAACTTGGTTGAAAAGACAGACCTTTGCTAATAGACTCGTAATGATCCCTGTTCTATTTGCATGGTATTATGTTGTCCTGACAAATTTAGGTTACTCCCATGAAGCTTTGTGATTGCCTCTCCAACCTTCCTGTTCCTTTCTAATATACTTTAATAAAATTATATTTTTATGTGAACCCGTTCTGTCAGTCATTTGTGTGTGAGTGCAGGTCCCCCCACCCCCCTCTCCTTTTTTTGTTCTCTTTCAGACAAATTATGCTAGACTATTCAATATATAATTGTAATGAGATAATGCAGGACTAAAATACAAATACACTTAGAACCCCAGGCAAAAAAATTGACAAGAAGAAATTATGGGCGTTACGTAAATCCATAAATGTATGTAGACTAAAACATTAGATGCTTGAAAGACATTACAACATTTAATTCACGAGAGAGTAAAATATGTTCATACCACTTTTCATAACCGTGTTTCCATTTCAAATGACTTCAAATTGTTACCACTTTGCGTTAATGGATCAGTTGATGGTCAGTGAATTAGGAAGAGAGAAAGATAGTTTATTATAATGCCATGTAATATATCTTGAAACATTATTCGTACAGAACTTATGATACATACGAGAAAACAATTAATCATTGTCAATGTCTAATACAAGCCATTATTAATTAAAAAGCAGATAAATGTATTTCTAAACTGGGACAGAAAATGCATTTATGGCTCTCCGATCTCTGCTGTGCTCGATGCTATGTTCTCTTTGTCTCATTTTCTTCTTTTCTTGACAAGAATAATCTGGCAGATCATATTTTCATACTAAAACAAAGCAGATGTGTAATTAACTTTTCAAGACAAATTTATTTCACCCTTTTTCAGTTTTGTTTTTTATGCTTTAGAATACGTTCTTTTTTAAAGGCACAAGCAAAGCCTGGTCGCGTGCCACGAATTTAAATATTTTTCGAATATGCAATGCCAAGCAAACTATTGCTAAAATAATATTTTTGATGTCTAATTTCATGTACTATACCTTAAGTTTTGTAATTAAAAAGCTGACAGAAGAACATTTTTATAAACTAAAACATTGTGGCCATTCAAACACAAACTCGATCTAGTTTCGAACATTATGGTTTACATTAGATAAAGCAGAGAAGACAATATTTTGACAACAGGCTTGATTTACGTCTAAATACTCACACTTTAGCACTAACTGTAGCTGACTGGTATGTGGTATGTACCTGGTATTCTACAGTTAACCGTGATGATAAATTGTGTTTTTTTGATCTTTTTGGGGTTTCTAAGTACTGTTTGTGTCTTGAATCCACATTCTTGTAATCAGTTCAATCTAAACTACTCAAAAGCCAGGAAGATATTATTTTGGTGCGTCTGAGTTTAAGTGCTAATCCATCAAAGAACCAGAGGAGACTTCTCAAGGCAACATTCAGCAAGATGCATCTGCTTCTCATCTGTGGTGCCCTGGGCCACTGGGTTATATTTCTCTAGTTTAAGAATCCTCTTATATATTTAGTCTGTGTGAAAACTAAACTATTTTAAGATACATATTGAGAATGACAAACTGCATATAGCACATAGTTCTTTAAATTTAGGCACGCATCCGCTCATACACTTTTTACTTTTTGCTTACCTTGTAGCATCGGGATTTATTAAAAGTTGGGAACCTGCTTACAAACCTGTTTAAACAGGAAAAATCCATCTTCTATTTAGAATTTTTATTTTCTGCTAATGTGGTATTGTCTCCACAATTTATTAATTATTATTATTAATGAATAGACCCCTGAATATCATGAGCATTCCAATTTTTATGTGAATGAGACATTACCAAACTATTATATATTATTATTGCCCCGCAAGATTTATAAGTAACCTTTTGATTTATAGATCTGTTTATGTACGCCTTAAAGCCTCAATCAAACAGTATATTTAAAACATTTCCACAATTTAGTGATAGTGCTTTTATTTTACAAACCTTTTTCACAAGTAAATATTCAGGGTCATATTTTTTTTCGTAATCAAACTTACTTATTTTCATAATAATAATTGTAGGTGACAATGGGGTTTATCTACAAGCTTTCATCCTGTTAAGCAAATGTTAACCACATGTTAGATTAATTTCCAATGATGTCTTAAAGCAGAGTTTCCCAACCCAGTCCTCAAGAACCCCTACCAGTCCAGGATTTAGGGATTACCCAGTTGTGTCTAAAGTGTTTTTTCCTATGGAGATTCCAGTGATGCTGGAAGTACTCATGCAAATAAAGAAGAGAGATTCATGGCCAGATGTACTTATTATACTAAAGCTGACTAAACAGTCAATCTGTGTTTAGATAGTACACCTGACTTCTTCTAGCAAGCTTGCTATTTCATAATAGTATGAAAATCTATTTCAAAAAACATAATTTGAGAATATTTGGTAACAATTCAGTATTTTTTCTTGGGTTGAAGGAACACTATAGGGTCAGGAACACAAACATGAATTCCTGACAATATAGTGTTAAACTAACTATTTAAGTAGCTGCCTTCCCTTTATTCCCCTTACAATTGTATTTTACTCACCTTTATTCCAGCACCGTGTGGGTTCCGCCAGCACTGACCCGGCCCCTGATCTGCCTCTTTGACTGACATCATCAGAATTGTTGATCTCAGCCAATCCAATGCTTTCCCATAGGAAAATAGGAAAGCATTGGAAAATCCATAGGAAAGCATTGGATTGGCTGAGATAGTCAATTCTGATGATCTGAGGAAAGGAGGCGGGCTAAGGGGCAAAGCCAAATGCCGCCCTAGTCAATCAGCATCTCCTCATAGAGATGGATTGAATCAATGCATTTCTATGGGGAAAGTTCAACATCTCCATGCTCTGCACTGTGCAGCACTGACCCAGGAAGCACTTCTAGTATAAACACTGCTTACATTACAAAGACTGCAGGGGATGACTATACTAACCAGAACAACTACATCGTGGCGTGGTTACGTTATACTAGCAGGACGCTACTTGCCCCGCCTCCTAATATGAACATAGTACCTCGGACCACCAGTACAGCCGGCAACTGGACATACAGGAGGATACAGACGTGTAAGAGGGGAATGGCACATTCTATGAAGGGCTTTGTGGCAATACCTGTTTTTTAATAATGACCTTTGGATTTTATGAAATAAAGTTTAATCTGGATATTTTGACATCCATCGTGTTATTGGAAGTCTGGCACAGCAACGATAAAACATCAAGCACACACACACAGCCTGACAGTTTCTTCCATGCTCAATGTTTGTGAGTTTGACTAATATAGTTTTCTTGTGTATTTTCTAATATTTTCCTTTCAATGCTGCTCTGTTATTTGTGTTCTTTCTTTGCAGATTGTGATGCTGACCAAGTACTGTAAGTGATTTTGGCACTTGATTTTTCATTTGTTCTGACACATTGTCTTTCACGGATATTTTATTCTGTGCACTAGCTTGTAACGTAATGTATGCACTTTATTGTGGATGAACACTGGATTTAATGCTGCCTTGAGTCTATACACAAATTATTTCTTTATTTGCACGATTTAAAGGCATAGCACACTTTAATTAATGGAATTATATTATTTAAGTGTTGTTGGGAGCTAAACACACATTTAAGGTGCTACTAATATATTAATTTATTGTGGTTTTTAATTTTTGATTTTATTAATATTTTTAAGCGCCATCCTTCACTTGTAAGATCTTTTGTAGGATAGCTTTATGCCTATCCCACGCATGCTTAAAAACTCCCTCACTGTGTTAACCTCTACCACTTCAACTGGAAGGCTATTCCATGCATCCACTACCCTCTCAGTAAAGTAATACTTCCTGATAATATTTTTAAACCTTTGCCCCTCTAATTTAAGACTATGTCCTCTTGTTGTGGTAGTTGTTCTTCTTTTAAATATAGTCTCCTCCTTTACTGTGTTGATTCCCTTTATATATTTAAATGTTTCTATCATATCCCCCCTGTCTTGTCTTTCCTCCAAGCAATACATGTTAAGTTCTTTTAACCTTTCCTGGTAAGTTTTAGCCTGCAATCCATTAACCCGTTTAGTAGCCCTTCTCTGAACCCTCTCTAAGGTATCAATATCCTTCTGGAGAGACAGTCTCCAGTACTGTGTACAATACTCCAAGTGAGGTCTCACCAGTGTTCTGTACAATGGCATGAGCACTTCCCTCTTTCTACTGCTAATACCTCTCCCTATACAACCAAGCATTCTGCTAGCATTTCCTGCTGCTCTATTACATTGTCTGCCTACCTTTAAGTCCTCAGAAATAATCACCCCTAAATCCTTTTCCTCAGATGTTGAGGTTAGGACTCTATCAAATATTCTATACTCTGCCATTGGGTTTTTGCACCCAAGATGCATTATCTTGCACTTATCCACATTAAATGTTAGTTGTGACAGCTCTGACCATTTTTCTAGTTTACCTAAATCATTTGCAATTTGGCTTATCCCTTCTGGAACATCAACCCTGTTACATATCTTAGTATCATCAGCAAAAAGACATACCTTACCATTAAGTCCTTTGCAATATCACTAATAAAAATATTAAAGAGAATGGGTCCAAGTGCAGATCCCTGAGGTACCCCACTGGTGACAAGTCCAAGCTTTCAATATAGCAAGCTGGACAATGAAGCACATCTTAAACACTATCCCTGCAGGTGTGAACCCTTTATTATTAATAGTTATACCTTTAACAAATGAGCAGTCCACGCTAACTCAGGACAAGTAAAATTATTAATTTTATAATAGTTATTTAGTTTTTTATTATTTAAAACAAATATGTGTAATGGCATCTGTGTGTATAGTTTTGCAATACATATTTACAAGTCCATACATCTTTTAAGTGTATCTACTTATCTACCCTTGCTCTATGGTGGCTCTTTAGACAGAGACACAACTTTTCTGACCAAAAAACATGCCAATAATCCAAGTGATTTTTTTGGGGGGGAATCCTGAAAGCATGCACCAGTACTGATCACCTTAAACATAAACACTTATGCGCCATTCACATTTACCATAGTCTTGGAGAAAAGACACTTCCAATCTAAGAGGTCTCAAAGATGGCTGCCCTGTGGTGCAATGTTAAACTATTTACAGAATGAAGTGTTAACTTATATGTATAGAAATATACCAGAAAATAATATACAAAGAGACTATGCTACATGTAACATATATTTTTTGATAATAGCAGAGAAATATGCTCTCTGATTATAAAAAGGCTTCCGAAAATTATATTTTATTATAAATACTCTCCGAATTGCCTACTTCCCATTGTTTATAAAAAATATCTATTTTTTAAGGATGCTTCTGTTTCAATCAGACATTTTGCTCAGATGACATTGCTTTGCATTGGTTCTCTATATATAGATTTATATTGTTAGCTGTACACACAACAAAAAGCTTTGTAAACATTCCCCATAGCAACCAAATTTGAACTTCATTAAACTATTGGTATTGGCTTCTGTTGGTAATATTATCAGCTAAAAGAAGAGCACAGTTATCTACAATGACGGTAAAAAAAATCACCACATTTGTCTCGGTGATACCCTAAGATTACAGAAAACCGAGGTCTAACCTTAACCCTACACATTTAGATCAAAAAAACATGTTTAACGTGTTTGTTTGCTTTTAATTTTTGTGTTTCACATTGTTTACTCCTATGTAATTCTGTGCTATGCCTACATATATGTTATCAGAAGAATGCCCTTTCTGTCCTTTATAAAATAATAAACAATATGTACGGGTGCACTTAAAGAGAAAGCAATAAATCAGGGTGGATGTAGAATATAATTTGAAATCTTTAATATGTATGTATTAATGAATGCATATTACCATATTGAATTACTGGGCAACTAGGGGAAGATGTTTAAACAGACAACTAACCAGTTATATAGTGAAATACAATCTGCTAGCAATCCCAGTGTCTCCCTGTAATATTAATGAATATATATTACCATTTGTATTTATTAGTGGAATTTGTTAGAGTGTCAAAAAACTATGTTGTAGTGGAGGACGCATTCTGTTAACTATCCCAGTTGTCCCCTAAGGTTATAGCGATAACAGGAAGAACCAGAAAAGAACAATGTCCTTGAAAGTTAGGCAGTAATTTGGATACTATGAGTAGACAAGGACTATATAATGTATGTCCAAAAGAGAGCATCTTTAATCATATGTGAGGAACTGACTCTGCTGGGTTTCGAAACCCTGGTTTCCATGCTGCTTAACCTCTTCCTTAATAGTTTACCAGTCTGCCTTTTGCAAATTTACCTGAGATCTGATAACCTTGACTCTACAAGCAATCATATCTGTGCCAACTCTCTTCAGCTGCGTCTGGTTAGGTGTCTTGTTCTTGGCCTATATAAGCCACTTCCTGTCTCTGTACCTTTGCCAGATTATTGTGGTTCCTGTACTCTATAATCAAGCTTGTTCCTGTTTCTCCTACCTGCTGTGAATTTGAACCGTTTGACTTGGCTGCTTCTTCTTCCCACTGACCTCAGCTTGCCTTACTACAAATACCATCTTTCTGTTCCAGTCTCTCATCTCTGCTTAAGACCAGATGGCCACTCAAGGCTCAGGGGCTCAACCACCTGGGTAACGAGTGGCTACTTCTGGCAGAAAATATTGCTGATCTGGCTGCTGGACTCCAAACCTTTGTAACATCAATATCATTACATCATGTGAGAGCACAGATTACCTAAGCAAGCATGCTCTCTTACCAAGAAGGAAGATCTTGTACCAGGAAAGAGGGTTCCACCAAAGGTTATCTGTTACTTTGCTGAAATATCTTTGTCAACTAAGAAGTATTTTCATCATATTGCTATTTTCTATACTGAGGTTTCATATGCCTTAGAATAAACATTATTGGGGATTCTGAAATGGTGTGTTATTGTTCTACTGAAGTATTGCGTCAGACGGAAGTTGGTTTATGGCAAACATACACAAATATTAAACAAGCATTTCCAGTGTATTTTCAGTAGAGAGAAAGGCCTTAGTCACAGATGCACAGAACACTTAAAAAGGCTCAGCAATGAAGGGGTTAAGCAGACTCTATATACTTTATATCTGTGATAAATAAAAATCCTAAAATACCAATGCAAGTTAGATGATAGAGTGTAGAGAGATGGGAAATATAATCAGAAATTGTGCTTTAACCCTTCACTCACAACGTTATGTATACACATTCTAGTTTCATTAACTTTTCAAAATGTAGTCCATAACGCTTTATTCACCTTCATTTATATTCCAGGAATGATTAAATAACTGTAGAAAAACCCATGTCTCTGCCCAGAATCTAGTCCACTCTATTATGGTCTACATACACGCTAAAAATGGCAGCTCCCCCATTACTAAAAAGTTAAGGAGGTTTCAGTGGGTCATACCATTGCTTGCAGTAAGGGGGGTGGCATTACATTAGCATTCCATAGACCAATACAGTTATAGTGTTTTTTTTATATACCTTTATTTCAGAAATATATGATTTACCTGTACTTACTGCATGTGTCATTATTCTTGAATGCAGAAATCCTTTTTACGTAGTTGTATACATTTTAGTAAGTAGTATTGCTAGTTATGCCATCAAGGTCTTACATATAACTAAAAGCAGGCTATTTGACATTCTTTTTGTAAATGAGAAAAAATTCATTTAGTTTTTATTCTAACAGTTCAGACCCTGTGTGAAAAATAGCAAAATAAAGGACAATGTATATTGTCTAAAGTGTTTCATTACCCCCAAAAAATTCTGTAAAAGATGAATAAATGAAAAATAAAGTATGAACATTTAGATAATGTGTATAGAGATGATACCTCAAATAGTATAATGGTATCCGAATATACTTATCTGATAAAGTTACAACAGCCTCTCAAGGTCGTAGCCCAGTTCCTGACCTTTTACAACATATACATAGACACAAAAGGAATAGAGAGTCGGCTGTGTATAATCTAGAATAAGAACAAAAAGAATACGTAGTGTAATACAGCTAGAAACAAATTATAGTGCACTGATATAATAATGCACTCACAGGATTCAAATGGATAATGCGCCAAAAAGGTGCCTGCCCCCGTGGGCGGCTAAACGTCTCCACTCTCCACTGGAACTCCAAGCAAACCAAAATATGGAATGAGACTCCAATATAGGTAGGGTAAAATAAATATGCAGATTTATTTATAGAAAAATGACCAAATACATAGGCCACATAAATAATACAGTAATTAAAAGCATGCATTTTTTGTATCTGAATGCTTTTAATTACTGTATTATTTGCTTTTGGTCCCTGAGGAAGTTCCTTTGCATAGGAACGAAACGCGTAGGACCTCATTTTATTTTATTTATGTGGCCTATGTATTTGGTCATTTTTCTATAAATAAATCTGCATATTTATTTTACCCTACCTATATTGGAGTCTCATTCCATATTTTGGTCCGCTTGGAGTTCCAGTGGAGAGTGGAGACGTTTAGCCGCCCACGGGGGCAGGCACCTTTTTGGCGCATTATCCATTTGAATCCTGTGAGTGCATTATTATATCAGCGCACTATAATTTGTTTCTAGCTGTATTACACTACGTATTCTTTTTGTTCTTATTCTAGATTATACACAGCCGACTCTCTATTCCTTTTGTGTCTATGAACATTTAGATAAGTTTAATGTCTAAAAAGCAATATACCGTATATACTCGAGTATAAGACGAGTTTTTCACCACATTTTTTTGTGCTTAAAAACCCCCACTCATCTTATACTCGAGTCACTGTCTGTATTATGGCAACTTACATTGCCATAATACAGACCAGGACCGCCAGGCTCACTACAAGCCCGGCGGTCCTGTTGGGGGCTGGCAGAGAGCTGTAACTTACCTTTCCTGCAGCTCCTGTCAGCTCCCTTCTCTCTCCTCCGGTCCGTCAGCTCCCCTTCACCTCCATTCCGGTCAGCTCCCTTCTCCTCCACTGTAAGTCTCGCGAGAGCCGCGGGGTCAGACCACGAGACTTGCAGTGGAGCTGACAGGGGAGCTGACCGGACCGGAGGAGAAAGGAGCTGACAAGAGCTGCAGGAAAGGTAAGTAACAACTCTTTGCCAGCCCCCCTCCTACACAGCCAATGCCACTGGACCACCAGAGAATGAGAGCCCCCTCCCTGACTATGTATCAAGCAGTGAGGGAGGACAAAAAAAATAAAATAAAAAAATAAAAATAAAAATTTAAATGATAATAAAATAAAAATATTAATAATTTAAAAAAAAATAATTTTAAAATAATAATAATTTTAAAAAAAATGCCCACCCCCCACCAAGGCTCT